CCCCTGATGAGACTATTTTCACATCAAAGATAATAATAGCAGTGAGCAGCGTCGATTTACGGCCAATACTCAAACAAGTGCCGCCGACTGCCATCGAACCTATTTGATCCACGGACTGAATTTTGGCTGCCGTTTGAGAACGACCTCCCGCCAAGGCATAAGCAACAAATACACCCGCGATTTCCACAGGTCGAATGCCACGAAATCAGGTAGTCACTGTTTTTATGCAATGTTTCTCCAACTATTTGATTCACATTCTTCGAATACTAGGACCAATCAGCGTTCATCTACCGGCACCTTCAAAATTAGTCGTTGTCATGGCTGGGAGGTGGCATTCGTCTCGTGAAGATGATAATGTGAATACTGTAACGGTTGAGCCATTCATGTAGCGACGATAACGAAGACCTGTGAGAATCGAGATGACCATTCGTCGACTCCGCACCAACTGCTCGCAACCTCTAACGTGCGACGGCTTGGTAGATCACAAGTTTATGGCATACTGTAGAAATACTTCTTAGAAATATCTTACATAGGGCGCAGAGAAGTCGCTGATGATGTCGTTCCTAACAAAAGAAATATTATTTTTACCGCCTATGCTTCTGAGCAGCCTAGCTTTCGAATGCAGTACAGTGTTCAGCTGCGTAATCGGCAAACGCTGGTGTAATTTGTTGGAACGTATCAGACGGCAGCTTTGTTGTAATCATTCAAAGCTACTTGCACAACGAAGCCTGCCTCGTCAATCAGTACCTAGCCACAGTTGTGCATATACCGCAATCGATTTAGAGAAGTAGAGCACTATGTGAGGTTTCGGTCATAGACCGACTTTATTGACTAGTTGAGGGCTCCCCCCCCCGCTCCTAGACTACAGGAACATGTGCTCCAAAACCAGTTCCAAGCGATCAGTATATCAGAAGGAAAGTTATAAACATAAAAAATAAATGGCATACTCACAGTAATAGAACTAACTAGTTGAGTTTCAAGGTGTTTAATTATTACTATGCTTTCCCATTACCCGCTTGTAAAATTTTTTATTTTTAGGGTAGTGGATGACGTTAACACGAACACTCTTCGAATCGACATATGGTAAGTAATGATTGGTAGTTTTGTGTCAATTCAGTTGACCCTCCCTATTGAAACTCATCTAGGGATCTGGACGACAGCGAGGCTAACGTCATTGATGCCTTGAAGAAACTGAACGAGGTCAACAGCCTGAAAGGATTATCCAGGTTCGCATTCTATCAATCAATTATCTATTTGTCGGTGTTTTCGTTCAGATATTTCAAACAAGTTGCCCAGAGTGCGATGACGAACGCCTCTAGAAGCGTGGACGACTACCTGGGATGTGTGCGGATTCCGATTAAGGTGGACTGTGTTTCTGACTAGAAGTTTTAATGCAGACGAACCCTGAACGCCGTTGGTATAACGGAGTGGCAGGTTTTACACAATCGTATTCCAAATGATGCCGTTGTTCGTTCAGCATCAGCCAATCCTCCTGGGTATTTACCCTAGTGGACATCATTTCTCTGGGTCAAAATGATATTGGTCTTAAACCGGTTGCAAAGGGATGCAGAGATCTCAGAGGCTTGCATTTTTTCCCATTCTAAGTTCATGTCAGATTAGCAGCGACGATTTCTTTGATGCTGGAGAAATTCCTTTAATATGCCTTGTCCCTTTATGTAATTTCCTTTGCATCTGCAGGGTTGCCCGCTCGTTCAGTGATGCAACTGTTTGAGTCGTGTCCATCTTTCAGCAATTTTGAAAGCCTGTCTTCCGTACATGATGGACGAAAGCTTTCTTCACAAAAGCAGACCAGTTTCGATGAAAAGAACAATACACGTTGTTTACTATACGATAGACGCTCGTCACAACGGTTAGCATCTTCATTCACCCACCCATTCATTCACTCACTCATTCATTCATTCATTCATTCATTCATTCATTCATTCATTCATTCATTCATTCATTCATT